TGATGATGATGATGATGATTCATTCTATTATAGGTCATAGACGCTTAAGTAAATCCCCATTTAGCATAATAATCCCCACAGATTACCCCCAAGGTTACCTTAGGGGGTAATTTGTGCAATTTGTGCAGGGGGTAAGGCACCAGGAGCGGGCTGGCGCTAGGAGGGGTCCGGATGTCTTAACAACAGCTGTTCCCGGATCCCTCCTGTTACAGGCGCAGAGTGGCACACCGTGTGGTTTTAGTCGGTCCGAGTCCGACACACCACCCCGCCGCAAACCCCGGAGGGGTGACGGTCCGAGGGGATTTCCACACGTTAAAAAAAAAAAAAAAAAAAAAAGGGGGTAATTTGTGAGGCTCCCCTACTTCTAGCTGTAATTTAGTTACGAACGAATATTGATTTTTCGGACGCTGTTGCTAATATAGCTTTAGATACATCTGTCCACCCTCCTAAAGTAACAAATAACATGTTTGTCAACATCAACTCTAATTACCCACGTGTAACACAAAAGCAAGCATGTTATGTCATTCATACCTACTGTTGTGAGTTTTGAGATACGCAATAAAATTCTTATGTAAAGACAATTGGCGGAAACAACCAAAATCTCATCATTCCTAAAGTTACTAATAAAACTGCTTACAAACTTGTTTGTAAACCGTTTTTGTTGATTGATGAAAGCATAAACGAATTAAGGCGAAAAGCCCGTGTGCGTTACCCCAGCAAAATAATGTCGAAAATGGTCATTTAAACTTTATAGATAATTAGTTGCTCCCCTTCTGTAATTGTTAAGCACATTTTTAAATTTGTTTCACTTAAACTTTTTTAGTTATTTCAAAAAAACATTTCCTGCTGGAGTAACGTTTGAAACGTTACCGCAGCCAGACATTTTCTTTTTTAATTGTAATATTGAAATAAATTTTAGCTAAATAATTAGTTATCTGGACTAGGTAAATGTTACAACTTATTTGGTATTTGTATTTTCTTCGGTTGCGAAGTTATTCGAAATCCTGCTGGAGTAACGTTTGTGGGTTTGCTGGATCTCTGAAACGGGTAAGCGGATTGTAACCATCTTTTGTACATAACTTCTTAAGGATTAGTTTTAATTTGTTCGACAATAAAATAACAAAAATAATGGACCGTTTAAAAATTATTTAGGTAAGTATGAAAACACTTAAATACGTCCTAACACTTTAAATAAGACCTCTTAAGACTTACTTGAAACGTTATTCTATTGCTTGTAACTACCTTCAAATGTATACGAATTTTCGTAAGAAAACTGTAAGTGACTAAAAAGTTATGATGAAATGTAGCTCTCCACGTTCACGATCACAATGTGTGCGGCCTTTTTTTGGCCACCGATAAACCTGTGTGTGGATATATAAACTGAATGTTATGCCAATAATTAGTTGTTTAGTTCAGTTGACTACCTGTAAAATTTCAGCGTAGTACATATAATAATTTACGAGATAATTAAATAAAAGTCATTAGAAGGTGCAAGACCGTGGTAACCCGACCATGTTTAGGTGGTTATAAAAAAGCGATCACCCAGTACATTGTGCTGGCTTTTAAAATATGTAGGATATTATTTGCAAGTTTACTACGGATATGTACATAAGTGTTACAAAAAACTACATGTTTTTTAAATATTTTTTATTTAGGATTGTTTATTGCATAATTAGTAATCAGCCGGGAGATTAGGTATTGTTTTGAATGCTTTTGTTTTCTCGTAATGTTTAGGTGAATTGTTTATAGTTGTTCATAGAATTGGTACCTGCGTAGTATTTGTTAATTGAAGTTTAATTTTAGGGTAGGTATAGGTAATTTAAGAAATATGAAATGAAATGATAAGTTTTGAAGAGTGTAACGTATGCGTTGTAAATAGGTATTTTGTGAATAGATGGGGATTTTTTTAAGTGATGAATCGACTTAGGCTAGCATATCGCGAACAAACTCTGTATTGCATTATTTCTGTAATAATGTTGGAGAAAATAAAATATTTGATCACAAAATCGCGGTGAGTTAAATTATAATAAAATAAATTATTTATGTAAATTAGTAATAAGTGATATACCTACCTAAAAGTTATGATCGTTTTTAATTTGTTCACCCTGAACGAAATTTCAATATTAGCATTAGTAATTAATATCCTAAGACAAGAATTGTCAATTACTTAAATTGAATCGAATTAGCATTAATGCCTATTATTAGTAATTAGGTACACACATATTGAAGAACTCTCAAGAATACGATAAATATTTGCAAAAATAGAAAGCGGAAGCGCACACGTACTTTACAACACGTATATTATCTGCCTAAGGGTCAAGTTTAGTGCACTAGATGCAAATTGCAAACAATGAAGTATCCCTTTGCCCCTCCCCTCCCGCGTTCTAGCGAAGGATGTATTATCAGCGATTCTTGATTGACAAATATTATCTGACCAATAATTTTATCTATAAAAATGTATCACTTTCACTCGATAAATTAAATTACCGTTATTACATCAAAATATCATTCAACAACTGTTCGTTTTTAACAGAAATCAACAGTAACGGGCTCAACGCTTAACGTTAGGTACATAGGTATAGATAATTCTCGGTTCTAGGTATAGACCACAGAACAATATTACCTACTCTTACGAGGTACACGTCTGTTGGGCGATGCAATGTTGATGCATTCTAATTTACAACTTCTTCTAATTTATTCTAATTTATTCTTCTACTATTCGGTCTATTTTAACTTATTGTAGATAACTTGTTGCTTTAAATATTTTGATGCATTCAAGTCTAAGCTCTATACACCCCAAAATAAAAATACAATTACTTATAGTGTTATTTTCTTTACAAAAAAAAAATCAAAGAAATGAAACGATTTCTTATTGGTTTAAATTTTCGTTTTATTGCAGTCAGGTGAATCGCTCATACATGTATCTACATATTTATAATTTTAGCGGACCAGTGCAGATTTTCTGTTGATTGTAGCTCCGGTAGTAAAAAAGACTAAATAAATTTTAAGTAAAGAAACTAGTGCTTAAGATCAATTAGGGAAAAAAACAAAATAAATAATAGGTAATAATAATGAATAAATATTGAATGTATTTAACACTGTACGCAACTGTACCGAAATCGTAAGGTGTATTACACTAAACATTTTAAAAGACAGCGCAATGTACTGGGTGATCGCTTTTTTGTAACCACCTAAACATGGTCGGATTACCACGGTCTTGCACCTTCCAATGACTTTTATTTAATTATCTCGTAAATTATTATATGTACGACGCTGAAATTCTACAGGTAGACAACTGAACTAAACAACTAATTATTGGCATAACATTCAGTTTATATATCCACACACAGGTTTATCGGTGGCCAAAAAAGGCCGCACACATTTTGATCGTGAACGTGGAGAGCTACATTTCATCATAACTTTTTAGTCACTTACAGTATTCCTACGAAAATTCGTATACATTTGAAGGTAGCTACAAGCAATAGAATAACGTTTCAAGTAAGTCTTAAGAGGTCTTATTTAAAGTGTTAGGACGTATTTAAGTGTTTTCATACTTACCTAAATAATTTTTAAACGGTCCATTATTTTTGTTATTTTATTGTCGAACAAATTAAAACTAATCCTTAAGAAGTTATGTACAAAAGATGGTAACAATCCGCTTACCCGTTTCAGAGATCCAGCAAACCCACAAACGTTACTCCAGCAGGATTTCGAATAACTTCGCAGCCGAAGAAAATACAAATACCAAATAAGTTGTAACATTTACCTAGTCCAGATAACTAATTATTTAGCTAAAATTTATTTCAATATTACAATTAAAAAAGAAAATGTCTGGCTGCGGTAACGTTTCAAACGTTACCCCAGCAGGAAATGTTTTTTTGAAATAACTAAAAAAGTTTAAGTGAAACAAATTTAAAAATGTGCTTAACAATTACAGAAGGGGAGCAACTAATTATCTATAACGTTTAAATGACCATTTTCGACATTATTTTGCTGGGGTAACGCACACGAAAAGCCCATCGAAGTGTTGACCGTTTTACTGTTTTTTTAGTTTACCTTTCATCAAAGCTAAATACTTGCGTTAAGTGAAATTTCACGGCGGTTTTCGAACCCGAAACCACTTGATTGCAAGTCCGATGCCTTAACAATTTGTACTACCGCCGCTTCTTTAATTCAAATTTAGTACTGTCATATTGTCGAATATTCGATGAAATTACATCCTTTGAAGTTTTAATGCATGTGCTTAAATTTACTTCTTTGATTTTCTTTGTGTGACAGATCTGTAATAGTAACTAGTAAGCACGTCTATTTGTGCATTATTTTCTTGGTCATTATATTAATCATAGTATTATGAAACAACTAAAAACGACGTAAATGGCATGTGAGAATCGAACCAACTTAAATGACACGGTAATTCATCACAAGTGGATGTGTTGAAAGTGCTCCAGTTGTAAAAGACGGTAGCCTAGAGAAATGCCTCTATATACAGTTGGGCCATTTATTACTACATCATCATTTATTTTCTTACACCGTAAAAATATTCAACGCATATCGATCGTTTTCATAAGTCATTGAACTTCACTAGGCCATATAAAATATATCTATCCGAAACTTAGTTCGAAAGTTTAGAAAGTCGCAAGCGTTGGCGTTTTAAATCGTTTAATAAATGCACATGACTTTTACATATTTACTTACATTTTATTACTACTTATTTTTATTATTACTGATATATTTACACTACAGTCGGATTTGCGCACTGGATAAATGTTAAACCTTATTATATTAGAGACAAATTCAACTCTTAGTTTACAAAAAAACTACATACTACACGTAATTTATCCGTGTGGTGACGGATTAAGAATGCGGAGTGTCGAAACCCGTATGATGAATACGTGGGTGTCGTAAGAGTTGACTAAGGGAGCAAACTACGCAGGACAATAGCACTGCAAAGAGAATTAAAACTTGTAACAAACCCTTGATATTATAGGCAAAAACCTCCT